GGTTTACCCCACACGTCCAAGGACTATAACTCTATTTGGGTCATTGTAGATCGCCTTACCAAGTTGTTTCATTTTCTTCAGGTGGATACCAGATATTCAACCAAAAAGTATGCCCAATTGTATTTAGACCGGATTGTGACCCTGCATGGAGTTCCTCTTACTATCATCTCTGATAGAGGATCTGTCTTTGTCTCTCGCTTTTGGGAGCAACTCTAAGAATGTCTTGGTACTAGCCTCCTCCGCAGTTCAACCTATCATCCAAAGACTGACAGCCAAATAGAAAGGGTAAACCAAGTACTTGAAGATATGTTGAGAGCTTATGCCATTTCTTTTCCTGAGAAGTGGGACGAATGCTTGAACTTAGCTGAGTTTTCCTACAACAATAGCTATCAAGAAAGCATTCGTATGGCACCCTTTGAAGCTCTGTATGGGAAGAAATGTAGAACACTACTTAACTGGGTTGAAGTGGGAGACCGTAGATATTTTGGGCCTGATTTCATCAAGGAAGTTCGAGAGCAAGTCAATATTATTCAGAGTCATTTGAAGGCAGCTCAGAGCCGACAGAAAGCTTATGCGGACAAGCGAAGAAGGCCTTTGCAGTTTGCAGTTGAGGATCATGTGTACCTCAAGGTGTCTCCTATGAGAGGGGTGCATTGGTTTGGTGTCCATGGCAAGCTAGCCCCTTGATATGTGGGTCCTTACAAGGTTTTGGAGCAGTGTGGCCCAGTTGCTTATCGTCTCCAACTTCTAGATATTTTATCGGCGGTACACGATGTGTTCCACATATCTCAGTTGAAGAAGTGTTTGCGGGTCCCTGATGAAGCGATGGAAATTGAAGGACTTCCCCTCTAGCCTGACTTGACGTATATTGAGCAAAGTCAAGATCTTAGATGAGAAAGAAAGAGTGACTAGGAACAATGTGGTGAAGTTCTACAAAGCTCAGTGGCAAAATCACTCGAAAGATGAAGCAACGTGGAGCAAGAAAGTTATATCTTGAAGCATTACCCCCACCTTCTTTTTGGTTCATCGAGGTAGTTGTTTACATTGAAATGTAATTCTTATCTCTTTTCCCACACTAGGCACATGAAATCTCGGGACGAGATTTTGTTTATGGGGGGTAGATTTGTAACACCCTCGGTGTTACACTGTAAATCATTTACTAAAACACTGCATAAGCATCATATTTATGTGTTAATATATGTAATATAGTGTGTAAATCAATTTACGTAACTTAAAACGACCAACGGAAATGCGTAATGAAAGGTCGTTCGTGACGTATGAAATTATTAAGTATGGATGTTCGTGAATTTTTATTGAACAAAAATACTATAGAATGTATATACGGAACTTTAGTAAAGTTAGAAGTATGAACGTTGTAGATGACGGTGACATACCTGCGGTCGAATAATGAATTCACTAGCTAACATACCTAATAGCCTGGAAATCGAATGTGATGCGAATCCGATCAAGACTTAGTCGATTTCGTAAGTCTGAAAAATGGTTTGACAAGGCTAAGTTTGGCAATTTTTGTAGAGCAATTGGATTAAGGAGTGATGGGGTATTAGGGTTTGTTTTAGTAGCCTAACATGCCCTCTTAAGTATAGCATAGGTGGTTTGGCAATTGAATCATCGAATTGGATTTTTAGGATGCTTTAAAAAGTGTGCATGGCACGTTCCCGGCCGGGTTCATCGCGTGGGTGCGGTCACCATGCCTCGGGCACTCGGCGTCGCAGTGTCGGTCGTCCGACGCACACGCGCATCGCCGCACTCGGCAGGACACTGGGGCCGTTTGGCCTGGCCGCTCTACCCCGCCGCGCCCTGCCATTGCTGTCGCGGGCCCGATGCCCTGGCCGGTCCGCTGTCGCCTGGGCGCTCTACTTCGCCGTGTTCCTGCCTTGCGTTGTGTCGCGTCGTGTCTACGCTGCGCTGTTCCTCTCTGACCGGGTGGGTGTCGTCCGCGTGGCCTTGCACGCCGTCGCGACGCAATTAATGGCGCCGCAGCGCCATCCCACCGTCGCACGTGGCCAGCTCTGTTTGGGGAATCCCCGGCCAAACCATCACCACAGCAGCAACCAGGGTACGTTAGTGGAGCTTTAGACTTACCTAGCTCTCCCCATGGTGGCTTAGGGTGGCCGGCGTGCTCGCGCCGCCGTCGCGCATGGCCACGCGCCGTGGCCTCCGCTTCCGTGAGCTCCGTCGCCCCTGTAAACTTAGCTAGGGTAGGCTCTAGGGTTGTAGGTGCTGTTTGGCTTGCTATCTAGGGTGGAGCGAGTCTCAGTTGGCCGGCGTGGTGGTCCAGTGCCGTCGCCGCCGCGCCGATGCGCGCGGGGGTGGCTCAAGGACCTGGCCGTTGTAAAGTGGGATTGTTCTGAGGGCTAGTTTGCTTAAGTCCCTACTGTAGGAATAGGCCGCATAGTAGTCAGGGGAATAGCAGTTTGTTTGGGGGCGTTTTCGCATAAGTGGCCAGCGCGCGCGGGCCTCCCCGTCGTGGGCCTTTGTCGCACAGTTGGGCCATGCCCCGCGTGGCCATGCCGATGGGTCGCGTGCGCGCGCGCTGCGCGGGAGTGGGCCGCGTCGCTCGCTCGTGGGCCACGCGGGTGAAATTTGCTTTTCAATTTATAGAAGGTAGAAATAGCTTTGTATTTTTCATTCTAAGTTGAAATTTGGAAATTAATATCAATTCATATCAGTATCCAAAAATTATGAAATAAATTCTATTGAGTTCGTAAAAATGTTGTCTATCTGATAGTATGGTTAGTTTATATATATCTATATGGATGCTAGGGTCCATTAAATTATTTGGAAGTGTTAATGTTATTTAGATTAATAATTGTAGGAATTTTTGTGGCAAGTTGGTAATAGCTCTAGCCATGAAATTTTTACAATAGGTTCATTAGATTATTATGTGCTCACTATAATTTTTGTAGCCTTAGAATAGGTTGATAAATATGGTAGCTAGTACTCCTCGTTTTATTATATATATATAGTAAATCGGTATTAAGAGCGAGAATGTCTTTAGTTGCTAAGTTAATATATAAAATGTTTCATACCTGTTTAGTGAAAATAGGTGATTATTATTATCACCCATGATAAAAATGGTGGAAAGGAAAATAGAGACCGGGTAGGGATATGGTTTGGGTATTGGTGGGTGTCAGAGGTTGTGTCCTGCGGCCAACGGGCATAGCTTGGTTACACTGTTTCCTGTCTGCGTCGGTTAAGGACCGACCGTTGCATTAGGTTCTAGGCAAGTCACAGACTTATTATCCTGAACACATACTTGTGTATGAGTACAGGGAATCCTTGTTGCTCTCTTGCCGTGGGTTCCGGCTCTTTTCGGATCGACTTATTAGAGGCGGGGATGGTGGAGGTCTAAGCACCGCACTGAGTCCGGGACTCAGGAGCGGGGACATGGAGTCTAAGTTTGGACAGGAACCTGGATCCCGTGACAGGAGAGTGGTGGGTTGATGCTACTTGTGCCTAGGGTACAAGCGGGGAGTGTGTCTTGGGGTACCCAGCTGGGCATATTGATTCGTGAATCGCCAGCGATCCGGTATGGCTTGTCTACAGTCTAGCACCGTAGTAAGAACTGAAAGATGGAAAATGGTGAAATAGAACTGTTTGCTCAACTCTGGCTTGAAAGTAGAACATGTGCTTACATAGAATGGTTAGATAATAAGCTAATCATGGCTGCTAATAATAAACATACATAAGGATTCACTATTAGTATTGCTTTCCATAAAAAGAAAAAACAGCAAACTATAAAGCTTATCATATTCCTTAGAGTCGGGAAACTATTCCCACTAGTCGGATAAGTCTTACGAGTACATTGTATACTTAGGGTTTATTTACCCCTGTTGCAGGTGCTGCTTGAGGAGTAGCCGTTGTGTGAAGGATTCTTCTGGTGGGCACAGACAGATCTTTGTATATTATCGATAGATGTTTCTTTACATTCCGCTGTTTAATTTCCGCACTCTGAATTTGGTCATGTAATAATGTATTTCTAAGAACTCTGGATGTACGAAATGGACTAAGTAATGTAAACTTGTTTTCATTATTGGATCCTGAGGGGAAAATGTGGATTATTCGGGCTCTCCCTTGGGGTGTGCTCGACAGAATCCTCCCGATGTAGCTCGCTCTCGGGGTGCTTAGTGTCTAGTGGAAGACAAGCGTCTCCGTAAGTGCATTATTTCGGACGGTTCTGCCACAGGGGGAGCCCGCTGGAGTTGGAAAGATGCCGCGGTCGGGCGCGGGCTTCGACCATTGGAGAAGGGTCGCACAGCCGCCGGGGAGAGAGAGCGCGACCACCGCCACCGGAACCCTCGCCGCTGCCACCAGAACCCTAGCCGCCGCCTTGTGGGAGCAGGTCTCACCCGCGCATCAGACGGCCACGATTCCACGCATCGAAGTACATGCCTCACCTCTAGGACGTGCGCGCCCGAAAATTAGCATTTCCGTATGAATATATATGGGTTTTTTACTGTCGATTGAGCAAAACTTTAGCAAATTTCAGCCACCTTGCTAGGTGTTTACTAGCAAATTAAACTTGATTCTCTGGAGAAGCGAAACGGCCAATCTGATCACAATTGTAACAAATGCCGTTCTTCTCGTTGCAAGTTAACTCATGAAGTCATGACGTGCGAATAATGCCATAATTAAACGAATATACGCGAATTCGTAGGCTGCTGGAGCGAGGACTCAAACAATTTTGGATTCGCAGAAAATAATAAAAAACTGATCAATTTGGAAAAAGTAATGCCAATAACGTCCCATCCTTTTATACTGGAACCAAAATACACAGAAGTAGTAGCAGTAGCAGTGAGAGCACAGGTGAAAATTGAACTCAGAGAATGCATGGAACCAAAAGAGAAAATTGACCTAACGAGCTTCTTCCAAAATGTACGAACCATGGGGGGAAAAACTGTCGTACAAGGAGAGCTCTTATCCGTCGGATGACGCTCCAGATTTGTATATATCTCATGGCTAGCTCGATCGCTCGCCAGCTAGTGGCCAGGACCCCTGGGGCTTGGTCCTGAGGGGAGCTGCTGCGTCCACGCCATGGCCGTCGTCTTCGACCATGCCCTCTCTGGCATGGTCGTGTACGCCGTCGCCGCCGCTGCTGCGTCTTGGCTCTCAACCCGGCCTTCTTCTGGTAGCTGCCTTGCAGCATCTGCAGCAGAGACGAGGAGAGCACCGCAAAGGAGTGCAATAGTGAGAAGGACGGTCGCGGAAGTAGCAGTGGTCTTCATAGCTGAACGGCCGGCGTAAATGGTGGTTATACAGGCCAGTGTTACGGTTAGCTGTGTGTCGCGTCGGCATATATAAAGCCCGACACTCTAGAGATTCAGTTCGTTTCTAGCTAGCCAGTAGAGTGGCTAAAATACTGCAGTGTTTTGTCCGTTCACAACGGTTCTTTGGTCCGTGAGATTTCCTCAAATGAAGCGTGGAACACAGGATTAAACTACTACTAGCTAGTAGGAGTATTACCCTACATAATTCATCTTTTGATGCGTGGACATTTGGCTTAGAACATGGCACATGGTGGTGAGTAACATTGTCATATCAAGCTCTGTCATTTGCAGCCACTACTAGCGAACAAAGTAAGTATACAGTCAATGTCGTATAAAAATCGGATCGACACAACAATTTGGAATTGTTTTTTTTTTCCAACAATCAATGAACAATCTAACTTCAATAGCAGAGCAAACAAAACGACAACCAATTAAGTACTCTTGTATACGCTAAATTAGAGAGTGGGATCCGTCGTCCGTGCACAAATCGATCAGCTTGTCTCATTTTGTTTATATTGTTATTACTAATGCTGATACGTGCCAGCACAAGCATACTAGTATGCATGTGAGCTAGTGAGCTACAGCACGGAGCTCGAAGGAAGCCCGTGCGTTGATTTGGGCTCTGATGGCAGATTTTAGTCGACGGACTTCGACCAGGACGCGCATCACTGGGATATAGTTTACTCTCACCAATGCATGCCTCTAGACATTGAACGGCTGATTGTTTTCAGCCCGGCCGGCCGGCTCCGAGCACGAGGGTCGCAAATTACGCGCTGTGTTAGGGTTTGTTAATCATCCTACGTTAATGTGGAGTAGAGTATCATGCTCATGCACCGGGACAGCAGCTATTAAGCCCTAACACCGGCCTACATGTACCACGCACATGCGGGAGGTTTACTCATCGAGGTCAAACTGTCATACCTACCTGCCACTCGTGTTCAGTGACCATTTGATATTTTGATTCAAAGGCATCGATCAAGAACCACTAACAACGGTCAGGTGCCGGTTGGCAAGGTAATAAGGACGTTTAGAGCATCTCGTATAGTTTAAAAGGTGCACAAAAAAGTAGTTCCTCCAAGACTATCCTATTATTATTTTTTTGTCTAAAATTAAACATACCACATCATCGCGTCAGCTCCCTGGATAATTCTCAAAAAGGATTCCTAAACTGTCGGCGTTGATCCATGCTGTGAAAAATGAGAGGAGTGTGTGGGAAGACACGTGAATCCAATATCGGTGTTGGTGTGGGCTTCACCTCCTTCTCCTACTACACTTCATCTGGCACCAAGTCTTTGCCGCCATCGCCCTGTGCCCTAGCTATTCTAACAATTTGAACTTCGATCACCGTGTCGTGGGTTCATAACTGTGGCAGTGATTAGTGACTCGATCGATGGGTCGATGTGTGGGACTCCGATGGTTTAGCACTCAAAACACAAAGGGTTTATCCTGGTTCGGGCATCTAAGCCCTACGTCCAACAACTAGTTCTTCATGTTAGAATGCTCAATCGAGTTCTTACAAAGGAAGAGGAAGAGAGAAGGTAGGAGAGCGCTTAGCTCGTAGTGATCTCGGGTTTTCTAGGACTCGTCCCTCCTCCAAGGGTGCCTATGCCTGTCTTATATGCCGGAGGTCTAGAAGAGTACAAGGGAAAAAATAGGTTCTAGAAGCTCCCTTGGAGAGCAAGGGAGTGCTAGGGTTTCATGTGCTAATCTTCGAGTTGTTGGCCGCGTCGAATGCTGTTCCTTCTTGGTGGTCATGGCCGACAGCGCCGAACTGCCTCTACCACTGCCTATAGGAGCCTAGTGCCGATCATCAGGAATCGAAGTCGTTGTAATGCCTCATCTGCGCTTGTCCTCCTTGCGGCGTCCGTCGTATGCCAAAGGCAGCGGGCGCATGCTTGGGAGAGACTGATCAGTGAGCCCGTGTGCCCTCTTCTTTCCTCATGCAAGGGTTGTGGGCTCACTCTTGTCGTGTTGCGTCACGCTGGGGCCGGGCAAGTCCTTGAGCCGGGAGTGGCTGACATGACCTCGCGAGGGCGAGAAGACAGAGCTCCAGTAGGGCCTAGAGCCCTGCAACTCTGCCCGCGCGTCAGGCTTCGGGCATCTGTCAGAACCTAGGTCTAGATTCCTCCCGTCTGCCCCGAGCAAGCAGTTGATCGGGTGGGCGCTTTAGGAGCGCACCATTCCTGGCCTTCCTTGGTCATTTAGGCTTCCCAAGACTGTGATTATTCTCAAGTCCCCGAGCGTGGAGGTACGAGTGTGGGCTTGCCTGGAGGTCTTCCACAAAGGTGTTCAGCCACTTATGAGGTGGGCCATCTTAGGGCCGATGGCCCATCTATGTTATCAGTGTGTGCCCGCAAGCGTACACGCTGGGTGTAGCCCTCGAGCCCCTGACTGGTTAAGGGAATTAGTTTGGAGGTTAATCATACTATCATGGTGCTAATCTAGGTGTTTAGGTGATCCCTCTGTTAGGTACTCAACAAACCACCTCCACTACCCGATGAAAGAGATGAAATCGGTCATTGTCACCCTCCTACCATAGCAGAGCTAGCAAACCAAATGTAGTGTATCAACACATATATTACAAACTCATATAAGTGATTAAGCTAGCTTGTCTCTTGGGAATTTTTTTATTTTTAACACTTTTTAAAACTATTTCCAAATTTGACACAGTTTTTTTATTTTCAAATCTAACACTTTTGGCCGCGCCTATTGCCACGGCATGACCAAACAACGTTGTCGCGCCATGCATGGCGGCATGGCAAAGGTGATGACATGGCAGGGGCACGGGTCCTGACAGGCTGACGTGGCAAGCGCTGCCACGCCGCACATCTTGGCGCGGCAGTGCCGCGCCATCGCCCACGGCGCGGCAGGCGCAGTTATAGGCCCACGATACAGCTTCCTCTTCCCTCTCTCTCTCCATTCATTTCCTTTCACCCATGCCCACCAGACGCTGCCGGCAGTCGCCCACCCGCACCCGTCACCTGTGCTCACCGTCGGCCATCACCGTCATGGGCCTACCCTGACCGGCTGACGTGGCAGGCAATGCCGTGCCACACATCTTGGCGTGGTAGGCCCAGTTATAGGCCTACAACGCGGCTTCCTCTTTCCTCTCTCTCTCTCCATTTATTTCCTTTCACCCGTGCCCCCTGACGCCGCTACCAGTCGCCCGTCCACGCCCATCGCCCATGCTCGCCACCGGCCGCCGCTGTCGCCCCCTCCCTTGTCTCCTCCACCGCTGACCACGCCTCCCTACCTGTCTCTCTCCCCATTCCCCTATTGATTGGGTGGGGGTCAGCCCCTTGGTCGCCCGCGCCGCCTCCCTCGGTGGCCGGTCATTCAGCCACCGCCGCCACCACCGGCGGCCATCTTCGTCGTCGGGGCTGACCCCCTGGAGGTCTCCCCCTTGTTGCTAAGGTATTCCCCCTCCAAGACCCTCATTTTTGGTGATTAATTTTTGAATCAATTGATTAGTGTTAGTGATTTGGTATAGTTAAGTAGTTAGGATTTTAGGGTATGGTTAGGTAGTTAGCCTTTAGGTTTTTGTTAGTTAGGATATTGGGTTTAGGGTTTGGTTAGTAATTTTGGGTTTAGGTTTTTGTTAGTTAGGATTAGGGGTTTAGGGTTTAGGGATTGGTTTGGTAGTTATGGTTTAGATACGATGATTTCAACGACTTGATGAAGTTTCCTCAAATGCTTTTGGAGATGGATTGTTGTGACCGAGTTTTTTTACGGAGGAAGTGTTAGGAAAGAAGATGGTATGTTTGAGGATATGGAAGAAGAATTGGAATGGTTTGATGAACCTCCTAGATTCGATGACCTTTGTGTCCGTTTGAATGCAAAGTTTGGTGGTGATTTCACAGTGAAGGGGAGGTTTGATAGTGGAAAGACTAGGGCACACTATGTCCTGATGCCCTTGTGCGACCCTGCTCACTGGTCCCGCTACAATAGGGTGCTCCAAGGTTCCAATGTGCCCATGGCTGAGGTGGTGGTGGAGAATGGGTATAGGATGCAGGGTCTCCAGGATAGGCCGTCCAATGATGGTGTTGGAGACAATGAATAAGAATTGGGGTCGAAGGGGAAGCAAGTCAGGGTAACATGGATTTGGATGGTCAGTTGACGCATGAGTAGTTTCATTCAACTCTAGTAGGTTGTATAAGCAATGACTTTGATGTGAATGAGTTCGAACGGGAAGAGGAGGAGCAGGAGGAGGAGGACATGATCGGTGATGCAGTTAGCAGTGATTCAGACGATTCTAATGATGACCAAAGAGGTAGAGATGCTATGCCAACACCGGTTGATGCCATGGCAGTACCGGTGCATGCTATGCCATTAGCAGTACCAACTGAGGTACTTCATGCTATGCTGGCTCAGAGTAGATTAGTCACAGATTTGCCAGAGGATGATATCCCCTATGATTCATAGGGTAGAATTAGAGAAGCACAGCAGTACGTTCTACTACCACCTTACATAGCGACAGAGCTTATGCAGCTAAGGTCGATGAACGTACCTTTCTGTGGCATTCTGAACTATAGGGATGTCAGCATGACGGATATGGCAGTTTGTGACACCGGTCTCCAAATGTGTAGGAAATCATTGTATGACCATGAGAATATAATCCTTGAGAAGGGGATGATATTCAATACAATGTCTGTCGGTGCGAAATGTGGCCAACAAGTAAATATTTGTAGTTTTGCCATGCGTTGTGATCGGATGTGGCCTAGCACACGATGACATAGGATTTATACTGGTTCATGCAAACATGCCCTACATCCAGTTTCAGTCGGTCGGTGACTTTATTCCTAAGCCTAGATGCTCAAAGTTTGATGTGGGGTTACAAACGAGTAACGAATGAGAAAGGGGGTGTTAGAGGACCGGTCGGACTCTAATCCAAGTGGAAGAGAGTGACGGATGCTCGAACGTGCGCTAAGTATTAGAGCGTATGCTCTGTGTGTCCGAGC